CTTGCAAGGCCCTCATGCCCATCAGACAAATTTGATTTGACCTCGACTTCATTTCATGGATCAGTGAAGACGGTTAAGTTTTCGTGGTCAAGTCCATATATCAGATACTATAAGCAGTAGGTCTACTATATTTGGTATATGGAATGATTGTAAGGTGTACATGTCCAACTGGTAGGTGTCATCTGACCTTGACCTCATTTTCATGGTTCAGTGGTCAAAGTTAAGTTTTTGAGTTTTGGTCTTTTTTTCTAATACTATATGCAATAGGTCAACTATAAATGGTGTATGGAAGTATTTTATGATGTACATGTCAGTCTCACAGGTTTTATTGACCTTGACCTCATTTTCACGGTTCATTTCTCAGTGTTAAGTTTTTGTGTTTTGGTCTGTTTTTCTTCAACCATGTCAACTATAAGCAATAGATCAACTATATTTGATGTATGGAAGGATTGTAAGGTGTATATGTCTGTCTGGCAGGTATCATCTGACCTTGACCTCATTTTCATGGTTCATTTGCAATGTTAAGTTTTCATGGTTTAGTTTGTTTCTTAGAAACAATGCAATAAGCAATAGGTCAACTATGTTTGGTTTATTGAATGATTTTAAGGTGTACATGTATTTCTCGTTTGGCTTATCTGACCTTGACCTCATTTTCTTGGATCATGTTAAGTTTATGTGTTACTTGTAGTAAAGCTTTGTATTTAGAACTATCAACATAAAATCAATGGTTAGTAAAGAAGGCGAGACATTTCAGCGTGTGCACTCTTGTTTTTGTATGATGCAAGGATTTATTCAGATTTAATTATTATGCATGTTTCATTTACAAATGAATATTTAAAAATACCAAAGCAGATCTAGAGTATCTTGTCATATAAATACTTATTTCTTAATTGCAACTCTGAAAATATTCTGACTTCAATTTAATATTTAGTTTCTACAGAAACATAAATACAGTATATATTTTGTATATATTTCTTTGATTTCTATTGAATTAATTAAATTGAATACTTTTGATAATAATATTATCTTTCTGTTTTCCGATCTAATATACACATTCAAACGTGAATGTTCTCTCCTTAGTCTATGATGAAAATACACACGTGGTTATATCTTCAGACATAATTAGTTTACATGTTATCATGACAATGCACAATACCACGTTATAATTGACCTAGATACACACAGTGTACAGGGGTCGTTTTAAAACAAATATAATTGCGTTGTCATAATACTTGTTTAGAAACTTTCACATCAAAGTGCTTATAAACATTCACATTATTAAAAACACATATGTTTTGTGAAAAGGCAAAAAGGTTCTTATATTTAAACGATTTATTGACTGCAACCTAGCCTTATTGTTTACTTTCCAATTTACTTTGATGGTGTAATGTCACGTGGTAGCCTAGCCGTAGAGGGACCGTATCAAAGACGTAGATAACAACCTGTATAAATGATCGAAAACTTTAGAGACGTTCCGAGAATTTTATTCCGACTTCCGGCTGAGAGATATCGAGTGGCCCATAGACACATCCAAAACTCGCCAATAAAAACCTGTGCAAGCCATTTGACCTTGAAAATATATTTTGCCTCAGGGAGGGTTCACGCAAAAAATTATAAGCATAAATTGTCATATCTCATTCCAACAGAGACTATATGGCTATGAACCTTTAGTCATGGTTAATTGACTTTGGATGTTTTACATCATTAGTTTACATTTGAAGGTAGTTGCCATTTTAATTTCAACATTGCATTTTAAAGTATATCAAAATTATATACAAGCAAGACTTATAATTATCAACGGAGTATTGAACAAAATTCTGTGGATGAAATTTTAAGATATATGTAATCTCCATTAAAGGGAATCCCCTCTTTCTATATAAATTCTATATATTTATTGACCTATTTCACTAATCTTTGATTGTTTTATTTGATGGAAATGTTAAAACCTACATATGTATATATCAATTTTTATTTTCAAATGCAGTTTCACAAGTTCTTATAATTAATGCATACAAATTTTCATCAAAATAAAATAAATTACCCATATGTATATATTCACTAAAAAAATATATGTCTAATTTTCATCATGTCCCTGTCGATTTATCATGCAAATTATTTGATTCACTAATTAAACCCATAATTTTATATAAGAGCGAAATTTGGTTTATGGAAGATTATATTACTCAATTTTTAGAGCCATAAACAGAGCCAAAATGCATGGAACTAACTGTGATATTTTATCCTTGACAGATTGATTCAGCTTTGAGAAAGTGCTTCATAAATTTTGTAAAACTGTTCTTGGAATTAAAAAAACCTCATGTAATATAGCTGCAAACTCTGAGTTAGGACGGTTTCCACTTGACTCCTTTATAAAAACTCAAGTTTTATTATATTTTTGTAGAATTAACTGCCATGAAATAAACCCTCTTGTTAAAGAAGCTTCCAAAGTAAATAAGTCTATGTCTGAAGATGGAATATATACTTGGTACACTTCTTCCAAGCACATTTTTAAAAATTTTAATATTGATGAACAAGAATACGTTGATTTTGATAAACCTTTTAAACTTATAAAAATTTCACTTAAAAAAACTTTTAAACATATTGTTAAAGAAAAGTATGATAAAATCACTCTTGAAAAACTTTCAAATATCGATAACAGTTCAAAACTTTACCTTTATAGTAAACTTAAAAATGAAATTAAACTGGAAGACTACTTGCTCAATCTAAACAATTTTAATAGTCGTCCACATTTAACAAGTGACCATAACTTGGAAATTGAAATAGGTCGGTCACTCGATATAATAAAATTCACAGAGAACACAGAGTGTGTAAAGTTTGTAAATTTTAGATGATAAAGAACACTTTTTCCTTCATTGCCAAATCAACAGTAATATTAGAAACCCCTAATAAATGCAATTAAAACCCATTATTCTAATTTTAACCAGCTTGACTCAAACTCTTAACTTAAATCTATTTTAGATCCCAATAAACATGATAAAGATATTTTGTCTAATGTTGTATGCTATATAAAGCAATCAATGGAATTGCGAAAAATAAGGTCCACATTGGTCAATTATCTATATATATATATTATTAATATTAACATGACTTGTTTAACACTTTTTTTCATGTATTGTATGTTTCTTGTCACTTGTGTATATCATGTTTGCATTTTAACCCTTCACGGTTTCACTTTTTGCAATAAAGTTATATATAAAAATTTACAGATAATACTTTGCCTGAATTTTAATGGTTATATTAAAGTACTTTTAAACATTCAAGGCCTATGACATGTTTGACATGAATTCCTTTTGTCTTGCCTTGAAGGAGTCAAAAAGCGAGATATATATAGGTTGATAAAAATAAGAAGATGTGGTTATTATATGATTGCCAATGAAACAACTCTCTGAAAAATGTATTCCACAACAAGAAACATGTATCATTCACTGAGTATACAGTTTTGTACCAGCTCTAAATTATCCTAAATAATATGCACATAGAAAATGGATAAATTACGAAGATATACTGGATTGGTCCTGGACCCGCAGTGTTTATTTCATTAATTATGGAATAAGGTTTATATAATCTTTAAGTTAATGAATTTAAATCATGACAATGTATCAGCAGTTCTAAATTTTATATATTTATCCAAAGTATCTAATACAGTTATAACAATATAAAGTCTACCAAAATAAGTTATACACATAATATGACTCATCAAGATAGCACTAAAATAACCTGTCTTACTAACTTTGTTTTAAATTCATTTTCAAGGATGGTAGTTGCAATTAGGTCAAACAGAATGTGGTTATTTGATATATAATTTGTAATTTTCATACACACATTCTCCACCACTGTGAAATAGAGGCACTATATGGGATTATTTGGCTGTGTTTAAAATATTTTATGAAATCTATTATTGGTACCTATTTTGATATTTGTAACCTATTGCATAATTAATTCTTTATATATTGTCATAAATGTCATATAAACAAATTAAAAATGTTTGTGACAAAAGCACATACTGGTATATATTTGATATGAAACATAAAATACAAATGCAAATAAATACAAATATTTTATTGACACAAACTCAATTACAATAATTGGCAACAGCCCATATATATATGCATACAACTAGTACACAAATGGTAATGATGCAGCAATTAAACAATACTACATAACATATTAATAGGCACATTTGAACAATGAAATTTGCAGTTATATATATATATATTAATATACATAGGTTAATGTAGAATAGGCTACTGACATACATACATTGTATGTTATAGCTTCATAATGTTCATATTACTCATTTGTCAGGACATTTTTCCTTAATTCAAATGATTGATTAATAAAAGATGATATTAATCTAAGTGTTTTCTACACTTGTTATTAAGTAGTAGTTTGATATATTCGTCCTCAGTTTTGGATTGTTTGTCATAATTTTTAAAATTGGACAATTTTGATATAAGGACATTTCTTTGTGATTCATATTTTGTACAGTGCAAGATAAAATGTTTTTCGTCTACTATTTTATTATTATGACATAATTTGCACAACCTTTCTTCTCTGTTAACTCGCAGGTACCTGCCCCTTTCAATTTCAAGATTGTGTGCACTTAGCCTAAGTTTTGTCAAAGGTGCCCTATCTTTCAACATATTCAATTGATCAACATAGTGTGCACGTTTATTTGAAAAACAATAATGTCGAAAAAATTATAATTTTTATGATTCCGTAATATATGAATTCTGTTCCTGTAAAATTTGGTCATGAATTCGTTGTTTTATTTGAGCAAGCATAGGTTTAATAGGTACATGGAAAGATGTTAAATACGAAACGCCTAGATTTTGGATACATTTCTTCATATTACTTGTCCATATGTTGTTTTCTCTTTTTTAATAAAAATGTCGAAGGCTTTTTTTAAATCAATAAATGCAGCATAAACCACTCCTATGTTTAGTCCTGTATTGTTCAATAATTGATTCCAATGAAAAAATATGATCAGCTGTTCGATTATGTTCCATAAAACCAATTTGGTTTTTATACGACCGCAAAAATATTTTGTGGTCGTATATTGGTATGACGTTAGCGTCGTCGTCGTCCGGCGTCGTCGTCGTCCGAAGACACATTGGTTTTCGCACTCTAACTTTAGTTTAAGTGAATGGATCTCTATAAAATTTTACCATAAGGTTCAATACCACAAAAGGAAGGTTGGGATTGATTTTGGGGATTATGGTACCAACAGTTAAGGAATTAGGGGCCAAAAAGGGGCCAAAAATAAGCATTTTTGTAACTTCCAGACATAACTTGTGTGTAAGTGTATGGATCTCTCTGACATTGTACCACAAGGTTCCATATCACAAAGGGAATGCTCGGATTGATTTTGGGGGTAAAATTTTTGCCTCAAAATTTTAGGAATTAGGGGCTAAAAAAGGGGCAAAAAACAAGCATTTTTCTAGTTTCATGACAATAACTTGTGTGTAAGTGTATGGATCTTTCTGAAATTGTACTACAAGGTTCCATATCACAAAGAGAAAGCTGGAATTGAGTTTGGGGGTAATTGCCAAAATGTTTAGGAATAAGGGGCCAAAAAGGGGCCAAAAATAAGCATTTTTCTAGTTTCCAGACAATAACTTGTGTTCAAGTGTATGGATCTCTCTGACATTATACTACAAGGTACCATACCACAAAGGGAAGGCTGGGAATGATTTTGGGGGTAATTGCCTCAAAATTTTAGAAATTAGGGGCCAAAAAGGGGCAAAAACAAGCATTTTTCTAGTTTCAGGACAATAACTTGTGTGTAAGTGTATGGTTCTTTATGAAATTGAACTACAAGGTTCCATATCACAAAGGGAAAGCTGGGTTTGAGTTTGGGGGTAATTGCCTTAAATGTTTAGAAATATGGGGCCAAAAAGGGGCCAAAAAACAAGTATTTTTCTAGTTTCCAGACAATAACTTGTGTTCAAGTGTATGGATCTCTATGAAATTGTACTGCAAGGTACCTTACCACAAGGGGAAGGCTGGGAATGAGTTTGGGGGTGATGAATCATAAGGGGGTTTAAAAAATTAGGGGGGGATTTTTTTTTCCTTTTTTTTTCTTTAAAATTTTCCATTTTAAATTGGTTATTTCTGATTTATATATAAAAGCAAATAATAATGATATGGTTTGAATAGGTAAATTAAAAATTTTTAAGTTCTTAGATCATATTCATTCTGTGTGAGAAACCTATACTGTGTCAAATATTTAATTACAATCCAAATTCAGTGCTGTATCAAGCTTGAATGTTGTGTCCATACTTGCCCCAACTGTTCAGGGTTCGACCTCTGCGGTCATATCAAGCTGCGCCCAGCGGAGCATTTTATTGCTTATCAAATTGTTGCATTGGGTAAATTTTAACAATCTGGCATGTATAATCTTGTTAAATACTTTTCCTAGGTTTGAACTGATAGAAATCCCTCTGTAATTTCTAGGGTCAGCCTTACTAACCTTTTTGTGATACAAAAATACAAGTCACAAAAGATTTAAAGTGATTTTGGTTTTAGTATAATACTGTCTAGATTTCGACAGAATGTGACTTTGCATGCATATTTATATAATTCACTCAGCAAAAAGGGACACCCATTGTGCTTTTATGGAATTGTTTGAGTTTTATCTGATTGTTCCAGATTAGGGAGCCTTCAACTTGCACTGTCATGCAATGTTTGAGTGTTTGCTTCATTTTTGAGTCCTCACTCATGCACCTATTTAAGATGAAGAACAGCAAAGAAGGTGCAAATCATTTGGGGTTTTTTTTGTCTCCTGTGCAATGCATTATGACCCTTAGAAATATTGATAATTTGGAAAATTGCATTGTTAGCGCTCTCATGTGTACAATTCTTTGCCAGATTTATATAAAACTTATATCATAGGGTTATACTTATGTTGTAGGTTTATATCAACAATGTCTGAGACAAGGTCGAAAATCAGTGCCGATTGATAATTTCTATTAGAGTTATGGCTTTTAGAAATATAAATAATATGGGAAATTGCATTGTTAGCCCTCCCCTGTGCACAATTCCTGCCAAATTTTTATGAAACTTATATTGTAGGTTAATATCAGCGATGTCTTGGATGAGTTCAAAAATAAGTGCCGATCACATTATTTTTAAAAGAGTTATGCTCCTTGGAAGTATTGATTATATGGAAATTTGTATTGTATAAAGCACTCTCACTTGTCCAAATTTGCCAGGTTTTTAACAAATTCATATCAAAGGTTAATTATAAATAAGTGTAGTTGAATCAAACATTTTTGCCTAAATGGTTACTCAGATAATCTTCAGACCTGTTAACCATTAGTTAAGTTGATGTGTTGAGGCCTTATCTATAGTACTGTTTAAAGTACCATTTTTATGATACATTTCAAGACTTCGTTGATTTGCATTTCAGCATTTTTGAGTGGGCATTCACGTATGACAAAGCCTTGGACAATGGAGGTGGCATATATTTAGATGTACACAATATTGAATAAAAAATGAAATAATGAAGTAAACCGTGAATTTAATCAGCTTACAACTGTTCAAAAAACATATAATATGCTGATTTTGTTTAATTAAGATCTTGCCTGAGCTGATGGACAAGGTGTCTTTGTGCTAATTGATTTTATGTTTTCAAGGTTAACAGTAACAATCAATATACTTGACTATTGATCTGTAAAATTAATTACCACGGCGATCATTTTAGAATTGAACAAAATTTATTAATGCTTTCAATACACATTTATATGATTATCAAATCTATTAAAATTGAAAAAGGTCCTGTTAACCACTTAGCATTTTTGTCTCCAACCGACGAAGTCGATAGGGACTTAAGGTTTGCAATCCCTCCATCTGTCTGTTCATTCTTCAGTCTTGCAAATCAGTTTTCCACCTTTTTTAGCTCACCTGACCTGAAAGGTCAAGTGAGCTTTTCTCATCACTTTGCGTCCGTCGTCCGTCGTCCTGCGTCCGTCGTCCGTAAACTTTTACAAAAATCTTCTCCTCTGAAACTAATGGGCCAAATGCACCCAAACTTAAACACAATCATCATTCAAGTATCTAGTTTTAAAAATGTGTCCGGTGACCCGGCCAACCAACCAAGATGGCCGCCATGGCTAAAAATAGAACATAGGGGTAAAATGTAGATTTTGGCTTATATCTCTGAAACCAAAGCATTTAGAGCAAATCTGACATGGGGTAAAATAGTTTATCAGGTCAAGATCTATCTGCCCTGAAATTTTCAGATGAATCAGACAACCCATTGTTGGGTTGCTCCCCCTGAATTGGTAATTTTAAGGAAATTTTGCCGTTTTTGGTTATTATCTTGAATATTATTATAGATAGAGATAAACTGTAAACAGCAATAATGTTCAGCAAAGTAAGATATACAAATAAGTCAACTTGACCAAAATGGTCAGTTCACCCCTTAAGGAGTTATTGCCCTTTATAGTCAATTTTTAACCATTTTTCGTAAATTTTTGTAATCTTTTACAAAAATCTTTTTCTCTGAAACTACTAAGACAAATTTAACCAAACTTGTCCACAATCATCATTAGGGTATCTAGTTTAAAAAATGTGTCCGATGACCCCGCCCGCGAACCAAGATGGCCGACATGGCTAAAAAATAGTGCATAGGGTAAAATGCAGTTTTTGGCTTATATCTCTGAAACCAAAGCATTTAGAGCAAATCTGACATGGGATTAAATTGTTCATTAGGTCAAGATCTATCTGCCCTGAAATTTTCAGACCAATCAGGCAACCTGTTGATGGTTTGCTGCCCCTGAACTGGTAATTTTAAGAAAATTTTGCAGCTTTTGGTTATTATCTTGAATATTATTATAGATAGAGATAAACTGTAAACAGCAATAATGTACAGCAAAGTTAGATCTACAAATAAGTCAACATGACCAAAATTGTCAATTGACCCCTTAAGGAGTTATTGCCCTTTATAGTCAATTTTTAACAATTTTCATAAATTTTGTAAATTTTTGTAAATTTTTACAAAATATTTTCCACTGTAACTACCGGCCAAGTTCATTATAGGTAGAGATAATAGTAAGGAGCAAGAATGTTCAGTAAAGTAAGATCTACAAACACATCACCATCACCAAAACACAATTTTGTCATGAATCCATCTGTGTCCTTTGTTTAATATGCACATAGACCAAGGTGAGCGACACAGGCTCTTTAGAGCCTCTAGTTTTTTTTTTTTAGCTCACCTTGCCTGTCGTTCGTCGTCTGTTAACTTTTACAAAAATCTTCTCCTCTGAAACTACTCTGCCAAATTTGACAAAACTAAGTCACAATCATCATTGGGGTATTTAGTTTTAAAAAATGTGTCCGATGACCCCGCCTGCCAACCAAGATGGCCGCCATGGCTAAAAATAGAAAATAGGGGTAAATACAGTTTTTGGCTTATATCTCTGAAACTAAAGCATTTAGAGTAAATCTAACAGGGATAAAAATATTCATCAGGTTTAGATCTATCTGCCCTGAAATTTTCAGACAAATCATGCAGACAACACGTTGTTGGGTTGCTGCCCCTGAATTGGTAATTTTAAGGAAATTTTGCAGTTTTTGGTTACTATCTTGAATATTATTACAGATAGAGATAAACTGTAAACAGCAATAATATTCAGCATAGTAAGATCTACAAATAAATCAACATGAACAAAATTGTCAATTGACCCATTAAGGAGTAATTGCCCTTTATAGTCAATTTTTAACAATTTTTCATAAATTTTTGTAATCTTTTACAAAAATCTTCTCCTCTGAAACTACTGAGACAAATTTAACCAAACTTGGTCACAATCATCATTAGGGTATCTAGTTTTTGTCCGATGACCCCACCTGCCAACCAAAATGACCGACATGGCTAATGGTGAGCAATACAGGCTCCTTGGAGCCTCTAGTTTTCTTGTACTATATGCAATAGATCAACTATATTTGGTGTATGGAAATATTTAACAATGTACATGTATGTCAGTCTTGCAGGTTTTATTGGACCTTGACCTCATTTCTCAGTGTTAAGGTTTTGTCAAGCCTGCGACTTTTGTTGAGAAAGCTCGACATAGGGATAGTGATTTTGTGGCGGCGGTGTTAGCTTACTTCTTAAAAGCTTTATATTTTCAAAGGTAGAAGACCTGGATGCTTCATACTTTGTATATAGTTGCCTTATGTTATGAAGTTTCCGTCTGTCATGTCTGTCCATTGTCCTTGACCTCATTTTCATGGTTCAGTGACTACTTGAAAAAAAGTAAAGATTTTTTGTAATGTTAATTTCTCTCTTATTATGAGTAATAGGATAACTATATTTAATATGTGCGTACCTTGCAAGGTCCTCATGCCCGTCAGACAGTTTTCATCTGACCTCGACCTCATTTCATGGATCAGTGAACACGGTTAAGTTTTCGTGGTCAAGTTCATATATCAGATACTTTTAGCAATAGGTCTTCTATATTTGGTGTATGGAATGATTGTAAGGTGTACATGTCCAACTGGCAGGTGTCATCTGACCTTGACCTGATTTTCATGGTTCAGAGGTTAAAGTTAAGTTTTTTTGTTTTGGTCTTTTTTCTAATACTATATGCAATAGGTCAACTATATTTGGTGTATGGAAATATTTTACAATGTACATGTCAGTCTGGCCGGTTTTATTTGACCTTGACCTCATTTTCACCGTTCATTGGTCAGTGTTTGAATATTTTTTGTCGAGCCTGCGACTTTTGTCGCAGAAAGCTCGAAATAGGGATAGTGATCCGGCTGCTGCGGCAGCAGCTACAACGGTGGCAGTGGCGTTAGCTAACTTCTTAAAAGCTTTATATTTTAGAAGCTAGAAGACCTGGATGCTTCATACTTTGTATATAGATGCCTTATGTTACGAAGTTTCCGTCTGTCATATGTCCATTGTCCTTGACCTCATTTTCATGGTTCAGTAAAATTGAGAATGGAAACTACTTGAAAATAAAGTCAACATTTTTTGTTATGTTAATTTCTTTCTTATTATGAGTAAAAGGATAACTATATTTAGTATGTCTACCTTGCAAGGTCCTCATGCCCGTCAGACAATTTTGATTTGACCTCGACCTCATTTCATGGATCAGTGAAAAAGGTTAAGTTTTCGTGGTCAAGTCCATATATCAGATACTATAAGCAGTATGTATACTATATTTGGTATATGAAATGATTGTAAGGTGTACATGTCCAACTGGTAGGTGTCATCTGACCTTGACCTCATTTTCATGGTTCAGTGGTCAAAGTTAAGTTTTTGAGTTTTGGTCTTTTTTTCTTATACTATATGCAATAGGTCAACTATGAATGGTGTATAGAAATATTTTATGATGTACATGTCAGTCTCACAGGTTTTATTTGACCTTGACCTGATTTTCATGGTTCATTTTTCAGTGTTCAGTTTTTTGTGTTTTGGTCTGTTTTTCTTCAACTATAAGCAATAGATCAACTATATTTGATGTATGGAAGGATTGAAGGTGTATATGTCTGTCTGGCAGGTATCATCTGACCTTGACCTCATTTTCATGGTTCATTGGTCAATGTTAAGTTTTCATGGTTAAGTTTGTTTCTTAAATACTATAAGCAATAGGTTAGCTATATTTAATGCCTAAATTGATTGTAAGGTGTATATGCATGTCTGTCTGGCATGGTTCATTTGACCTTGACCTCATTTTCATGGTTCATTTCTCAGTGTTAAGTTTTTGTGTTTTGGTCTGTTTTTCTTCAACTAAAAGCAATAGATCAACTATATTTGATGTATGGAAGGATAATGTAAGGTGTATATGTTTGTCTGTCAGGTATCATCTGACCTTGACCTTATTTTCATGGTTCATTGGTCAATGTTAAGTTTTCATGGTTAAGTTTGTTTCTTAGATACAATAAGCAATAGGTCAACTATGTTTGGTTTATTGAATGATTGTAAGGTGTACATGTATTTCTCGTTTGGTTTATCTGACCTTGACCTCATTTTACTTGGATCATGTTAAGTTTATGTGTTACTTGTAGTAAAGCTTTGTATTTAGGACTATCAACATAAAATCAATGGTTAGTAAAGAAGGCGAGACATTTCAGCATGTGCACTCTTGTTGTGTTTTGGTCTGTTTTAAATATTCTTAAACTATAACCAATAGGTCAACTATATTTGTTGTATGGAATGATTGTTAGGTGTATATGTCTCTCTGGCAGGTATCATCTGACCTTGACCTCATTTTCATGGGTCATTGGTCAATGTTAAGTTTGTTATGCCCACGCCGTAGCGGAGGGGGCATTAAGTTTTACCATTGTCTGTCTGTACGTATGTCTGTACGTCCATCCGTCCGTACGTCCCAAAATTGGTTTCCGTTCTCTAACTTTAGTTTGCCTCAACCAAATGTTATGAAACTTATACACAATGCTTATTACCACATAACACAGATCAAGTTTCAATTTTGGTGGCGTCACTTTAACCGTTCTAGAGTTATGCCCCTTTACAAATGGAAACGTTCTCTAACTTTAGTTTGACTCAACCAAATATTATGAAACTTATACACAATGCTTATTACCACAAAACACAGATGAAGTTTGAATTTTGGTGGCATCACTTTTACCGTTCTAGAGTTCCCTTTACAAATGGAAAAATTGCTTTTCTCATCACTTGGCGTTCGTCGTTTGCGTCCATCTTCGTCGTCGTTAGCTTTTTACAAAAATCTTCTGCTCTGAAACCATGGGCCACCAAATTTGGCCAAAATCATCATTAGGGTATCTAGTTTAAAAAATGTGTCCGATGACCCTGCCAACCAACAAAGATGGCAGCCATGGCTAGAAATAGAACATAGGGGTAAAATGTAGATTTTGGCTTTTATCTCTGAAAACAAAGCATTTAGAGTAAATCTGACACATGGTAAAACTGATTATCACGTGAAGATCTATCTGTCCTGAAATTTTCAGACAAATCTGACAACCTGTTGTTGGGTTGCTGCCCCTGAATTGGTAATTTTAAGGAAATTTTGCAGTTTTTGGTTATCATCTTGAATATTATAGATAGAGATAAACTGTAAACAGCAATAATGTCCAGCAAAGTAAGATCTACAAATAAGTCGTCATGACCAAAATTGTCAGTTGACCCCTTTAGGAGTTATTGCCCTTTATAGTCAATTTTTCGTAAATTTTTGTTGTCTTTTACAAAAATCTTCTTCTCTGAAACTACTGAGACAAATTTAACCGTACTTGGCCATAATCATTATTAGGGTATCTAGTTTGAAAAATTTGTCCGATGACCCCACCTACCAACCATCATGGCTGACTTGGTTAAAAATAGAACATAGGGGTAAAATGCAGTTTTTGGTTTATATCTCTGAAACTAAAGCATTTAGAGCAAATCTTACAGGTGACAAAAATGTTCATCAGATTGAGATTTATCTGCCTTGAAATTTTCAGACGAATCCAACAAACCGTTGTTGGGTTGCTGCCCTGAGTAAGTAATTTTACAGAAATTTTGCAGTTTTTTGTTATTATCTTAGGTATCATTATAATATCTAATATCTAATACTATTAATTATGATTTTAACCTTATTTTACATGATTTCCAAAGCATCAGTAAATACAGGTGAGCAACACAGGCTCTTGAGAGCCTCTAGTTTCAGTCAAATTTGTCAACTGTCTACCTAATATTATACAATAATAAAATGAGTACTTGTGGCATGATTGCCAATGAGATAACTTTGTACCAGAGACCAAAGGGCAGGTGGATGAGTACTGAAAATTGTCTCTTGTCCTCGACATCAGGAATACTGATATAAGCATTTTTTATCGTAAAATACTTACTTACAGATTGTGGTTTGAAAGTATATTTCTTTCCTAGTAGAAATTTATATCAATTTCTAGTACATTTCTAACAAACTTTTGGTACATTGTAAGTCTCCGTTCACTTTATTTTTAATGTTTTGCAGCTAAAAGTATTATTTCAAATTGGACAGTGTTCAGCAGCAAGTATTACAATGTGATTAGGATGAGATTAAAAGATGTATATCTTGAAGCACATACTGACCCATAGAATAAAGAGAATAAGGAAAGACAGTGAAAAACAGGAAATATTTGAAAGGGTAAACATTTATTTTTCAAAAAAAAAAACTGATTATGGTCTTCTTAAATTTCATTACTGTGATAAAGATTTATGTTAATTTCCATCAGGAAATTGTTATACCTTATTTCATATTAATTGGGACAAAATATGCTTTACAACCAAATATAGTGTATACAAATAAAGAAATATTGTGTTTTAAGTAAACAATGTAAAAAAATTTCCTGTTCTGCAATTAAGTAAAAAGAACCATTTCATTGAAGGAACTGGGATGTATAAGTAATCTCCCACACATTGCGCTTACTAAGATTTAATTTCATTCAAATTTGTCAACTGTCTACCTAATATTTTACAATAATAAAATGGGTACATGTGGCATGATTGCCAATGAGATAACTTTGTAGCAGAGACCAAAGGGCAAGTGGATGAGTACTGAAAATTGTCTCTTGTCCTCTACATCAGGAATACTTATATAGGCATTTTTATATGACCGCAAAAAAATTTTTGTGGTCGTATATTGGTATGACGTCGTCGTCGTCGTCCGGCGTCCTCCGGCGTCGTCCGAAGACACATTGGTTTTCGCACTCTAACTTTAGTTTAAGTGAATGGATCTCTATGAAATTTTACCACAAGGTTCAATACCACTAAAGGAAGGTTGGGATTGATTTTGGGGGTTATGGTACCAACAGTAAAGGAATTAGGGGCCAAAAAGGGGCCAAAAATAAGCATTTTTGTAACTTCCAGACATAACTTGTGTGTTAGTGTATGGATCTCTCTGACATTGTACCACCACAGGTTCCTTATCACAAAAGGAATGCTGGGATTGATTTTGGGGGTAATTGCCTTAAAATTTTAGGAATTAGGGGCCAAAAAAGTGGCAAAAAACAAGCATTTTTCTAGTTTCATGACAATAACTTGTGTTCAAGTGTATGTATCTCTCTGAAATTGTACTGCAAGGTACCATACCACAAAGGGAAGGCTGGGATTGATGATGGGGGTAATTGCCTCAATATTTTAGGAATTAGGGGCCAAAAAGGGGCAAAAAACAAGCATTTTTCTAGTTGCAGGACAATAACTTGTGTGTTAGTGTATGGATCTTTCTGAAATTGTACTACAAGGTTCCATATCACAAAGGGAAAGCTGGGTTTGAGTTTGGGGGTAATTGCCCTAAACGTTTAGGAATTTTGAGCCAAAAAGGGGCCAAAAAACACATTTGTCTAGTTACCAGACAATAACTTGTGTTCAAGTGTATGGATCTCTCTGAAATTGTACTGCAAGGTACCATACCACAAAGGGATGGCTTGGATTGAGTTTGGGGGTGATGAATCATAAGGGGGTTCAAAAAATTTGGGGGGGGATTTTTTTTTTCCTTTTTTTTTTCTTTTAAAATTTTCCATTTTAAGTTGGTTATTTCTGATTTATATTTAAAAGCAAATAATAATGATATGGTAGGAGATACACACCAAACTGGATGTGTAAATTATTATATAATAAGTATTGTGCAATAGCAAGAAATTTTCAATTGCACAGTATTGCACAATAGCAAGAAATCTTCAATTGCACAGTATTGCGCAATAGCAAGAAATCTTCAATTGCACAGTATTGCGCAATAGCAAGAAATATCCAATAGCACAATATTGCGCAATAGCAAGAAATTGTCAATTGTACAGTATTGCGCAATAGCAAGAAATATTTAATTGCACAGTATTGTGCAAAAGAAGATACTTCGTAAAAATTGCTTATTTCTTGACCAATTTCAATGGGGTTTTATTCTTGAATTCTTGGGGTTCTTTAACATGCTGAATCTAACCGTGTATTTAGTTTGTGGATTTTGGGCCCCGTTTTTAAATTGGTCCACATTGAGTTCCAAAGGGTCCAAAATTAAACTTTGTTTGATTTCATCAAAAATTGAATTATTGGGGTTCTTTGATATGCCGAATCTAACCGTGTATTTAGATTCTTAATTTTTGGTTCCGTTTTCAAATTGCTCTACATTAAGGTCCAAAGGGTCCAAAATTAAAATTAGTTTGATTTTAACAAAAATTGAATTCTTAGGGTTATTTGATATGCTGAATCTAAACATGTATTTAGATTTTTGATTATGGGCCCAGTTTTCAAGTTGGTCCAAATGGGGGTCCAAAATTAAACTTTGTTTGATTTCAACAAAAATTGAATATATGGGGTTCTTTGATATGCTGAATCTAACCATGTATTTAGATTTTTGATTTTTGGGCCCCGTTATCAACTTGGTCCACATTGAGGTCAAAAGGGTCCAAAATTAAAATTTGTTTGATTTCATCAAAAATTGAATTCTTGGGGTTCTTTGATATGCTGAATCTAACCATGTATTTAGATTTTGGATATTGGACCATAATAGGTGAATGTCCAATTTAAAATTTTCAAGTTCTTAGACCACATTCATTCTGTGTCAGAAACCTATGCTGTGTCAAATATTTAATCACAATCCAAATGCAAAGCTGTATCAAGCTTGAATGTTGTGTCCATACTTGCCCCAACTGTTCAGGGTTCAACCTCTGCGGTCGTATCAAGCTGCACCCTGCGGAGCATTTTATTTATCGTAAAATACTTACTTACGGATTGTGGTTTGAAAGTATATTTCTTTCCTAGTAGAAATTTATATCCATTTCTAGTACCTTTCTAACAAACTTTTGATAAGTCTCCATTCACTTTATTTTTAATGTGTTGCAGCTAGAGTTATTTTTTCAAATTGGACAGTGTTCAGCCACAAGCATTACAATATGATTTGGATGGAACAAAAGCAATGCAAATATCATGATGCACATACTGACCCATAGAATAAAGAGAAAGAAAGATAGTGAAAAACAGGAAATATTTGAAAGGGTAAACATTTATTTTTTTAATCTAATAGACTGACTATGACCTAATTAGATTTCATTACTGTGATAAAGATTTATGTTAATTTCCATCAGGAAATTGGTATACCTTATTTCATATTAATAGGTACAAAATTTGCTGTACAACCAAATATAGTGTATAAAATTTCAGAAAAATTGCATTTTAAGTAAACAATGTAAAAAAATATCATGTTCTGCAATTGAGTAAAATTTTAAGATTCATTTCATATAATTATATAAGGAACTGGGATGTATAAGGAATCTCCCACACATTGCGCTTACTAAGATTTTATTTCATTCAAATTTGTCAACTGTCTACCTAATATTTTACAATAATAAAATGAGTACTTGTGGCATGATTGCCAATGAGATAACTTTGTACCAGAGACCAAAGGGCAAGTGGATGAGTACTGAAAATTGTCTCTTGTCCTCTACATCAGGAATACTTATATAGGCATTTTTTATCGTTAAATACTTACTTACGGATTGTGGTTTAAAGTATATTTCTTTCCTAGTAGAAATTTATATCCATTTCTAGTACCTTTCTAATAAACTTTTGATAAGTCTTCATTCACTTTATTTTTAATGTGTTGCAGCTAGAGTTATTATTTCAAATTGGACAGTGTTCAGCCGCAAGTATTACAATGATTTGGATGAGATCAAAAGCAATGCAAATATCATGATGCACATACTGACCCATAGAATAAAGAGAAAGAAAGATAGTGTAAAACAGGAAATATTTGAAAGGGTAAACATTTCTTTTTTTAATCTAATAGACTGATTATGACCTAATTAGATTTCATTACTGTGATAAAGATTTATGTTAATTTCCATCAGGAAATTGGTATACCTTATTTCATATTAATTGGTACAAAAATATGCTGTACAACCAAATATAGTGTATAAAATTTCACAAAAATAGTGTTAAAGTAAACAATGTAAAAAATATCCTGTTCTGCAATTGAGTAAAGAGTCATTTCATATAAGGAACTGGGATGTATAAGTACTCTACCACACATTGTGCTTACTAAAATTTAATTTCATTCAAATTTTTCAACTGTCTACCAAATATTTTACAATAATAAAATGAGTACTTGTGGCATGATTGCCAATGAGATAACTTTGTAGCAGAGACCAAAGGGCAAGTGGATGAGTACTGAAAATTGTCTCTTGTCCTCGACATCAGGAATACTGATTTAAGCATTTTTTATCATAAAATTCTTACTTACAGATTGTGGTTTGAATGTATATTTCTTTCCTATTAAAAATTAATATCAATTTCTAGTACCTTTCTAACAAATTTTTGATATGTCTCCATTCATTTTATTTTTATACGACCGCAAAAATTAAAAATTTTTTGGTCGTATATTGGTATGACGTTGGCGTCGTCGTCGTCCGAAGACACATTGGTTTTCGCACTCTAACTTTAGTTTAAGTGAATGGATCTCCATGAAATTTTACCATAAGGTTCAATACCACAAAAGGAAGGTTGGGATTGATTTTGGGGGTTTTGGTACCAACAGTAAAGGAATTAAGGGCCAAAAAGGGGCCAAAAATAAGCATTTTTGTAACTTCCAGACATAACTTGTGTGTTAGTGTATGGATCTCTCTGACATTGTACCACAAGGTTCCATATCACAAATGGAATGCTGGGATTGATTTTGGGGGTAATTGTTGCAAAATTTTAGGAATTAGGGGCCAAAAAAGGGGCAAAAAACAAGCATTTTTCTAGTTTCATGATAATAACTTGTGTGTAAGTATATGGATTTTTCTGAAATTGAACTACAAGGTTCCATATCACAAAGGGAAAGCTGGAATTGAGTTTGGGGGTAATTGCCCAAAACGTTTAGGAATAAGGGGCCAAAAAGGGGCCAAAAATAAGCATTTTTCTAGTTTCCAGACAATAACTTGTGTTCAAGTGTATGGATCTCTCTGAAATTGTACTGCAAGGTACCATCCCACAAAGGGAATGCTGGGATTGATTTTGGGGGTAATTGCCTCAAAATTTTAGGAATTAGGGGCCAAAAAGGGGCAAAAAACAAGCATTTTTCTAGTTTCAGGACAATAACTTGTGTGTAAGTGTATGGATCTTTATGAAATTGTACTACAAGGTTCCATATCACAAAAGGAAAGCTGGGTTTGAGTTTGGGGGTAATTACCCTTAACGTTTAGGAATTTGGGGCCAAAAAGGGGCCTAAAAACAAGCATTTTTCTAGTTTCCAGACAATAACTTGTGTTCAAGTGTATGGATCTCTCTGAAATTGTACTGCAAGGTACCATATCACAAAAGGAAAGCTGGGTTAGAGTTTGGGGGTAATTGCTATAAACGTTTAGGAATTTGGGGCCAAAAAGGGGCCTAAAAACAAGCATTTTTCAAGTTTCAGGACAATAACTTGTGTGTAAGTGTATGGATCTTTCTGAAATTGTACTACAAGGTTCCATATCACAAAAGGAAAGCTGGGTTTGAGTTTGGGGGTAATTGCTATAAACGTTTAGGAATTTGGGGCCAAAAAGGGGCCTAAAAACAAGCATTTTTCTAGTTTCCAGACAATAACTTGTGTTCAAGTTGTATGGATCTCTCTGAAATTGTACTGCAAGGTACCATACCACAAAGGGAAGGCTGGGATTGAGTTTGGGGGTGATGAATCATAAGGGGGTTCAAAAAATTTAGTGGAGGGATTTTTTTTTTCTTTAAAATTTTCCATTTTAAATTGGTTATTTCTGATTTATATATAAAAGCAAATAATAATTATATGGTTTGAATAGGTAAATTAACATTTTTTAAGTTCTTAGACCACATTCATTCTGTGTCAGAAGCCTATGCTGTGTCAAATATTTAATCACAATCCAAATTCAGTGCTGTATCAAGCTTGAATGTTGTGTCCATACTTGCCCCAACTGTTCAGGGTTCGACCTCTGTGGTCGTATCAAGCTGCGCCCCAGCGGAGCATTTTATTAATGTTTTGCAGCTAGAGTTATTATTTCAAATTGTGAAAAAGGCAGATATTCAGTGTGAATTTTTGCCAAGAAGGACCAACAGGTTTGTAGGTTATTATGAATAGAATTGAGAATGGAAATTGGGAAATGGTCAAAGAGCAGAAAACAGTGCAAGGCCACCAATGGGTTTTCAACACGGCGATAAAATTCTGCACTTGGAGGTGGGCTTCAACTGGCCCCTAGACAAAGATGTGTACCAGTTCGTGAAAATTGATGTCACACTAAACTATAAAACATTAAAATGAATTAAAATTAAAAACCGTACAAGACTAACAAAGTCTGGAGGCTCCTGACTTGGGACAGGCGCAAAATTACACTGGTATGAAACATGTTTAGTGAGATCTTAACCCTCCTCCTATACCTCTAGCCAATGTAGAATTAACAAACCCATGCCAATATGCACAGTAAAACTCAAAGAAGTCTGAGTCCGATGTCAAAATAGGTAACAAAAGAAACTAAGCACTCGACTCCAATCTTAATTGACTAGGATTGTCAGTTTTCCTATCGAAGGTCGGTGGTTTTCTCCGGGCACTCTGGCTTCCTCCACCAATAAAAACTGGCCGCCATGAAATAGCCCAAAAGCGGTGCTTAAAAGTGGCGTTAAAACACCAAAAATAAAAAAAAAAATCAAATATATCAAATTTAGTATAATTATATTATTTGTTATACCCCACTTAGGGGTATTATGTTTTTCGGTCTGTGCATCCATTCGTTCATCCGTTCATCCTTTCGTTCATCCATCCGTCTGTTTGTTCGTTCATCCGTCTGTCCCACTTCAGGTTGAAGTTTTTGGTGAAGGTAGTTTTTGATGAAGTTGAAGTCCAATCAACTTGAAACTTAGTACATATGTTCCCTATGATATGATCTTTCTAATTTTAGTGCCAAATTAGAGTTTTTACCCCAATTTCACGGTCCACTGAACATAGAAAATGATAGTGCGGGTGGGTCATCCGTGTACTATGGACACATTCATGTTTTTCATAAAATATAGCCTTGTTTTTTTTTAATCAGTAAATATGGAACATGAACTCATTGTTGATGAAAAGATACATAAATGTAGTCATGAAGAAAAATGATTTAGTTCGCCAATAGTGAGAATTTTTCTTGGCAATCTATCAAAGGGAATGACTTTACTAACACATTTTACAATACTCTTTGTACAAGGAACATTGTAAAAGTTTTCTTGGCTTCAATGAAAGGGTATAATCAGTTACTGTTGATTCATTCAAGATCGTGGGATACCAATTTTCGTGGATTTCGTGGGTACAGGGCAACCATGAATTTCAATGTTCAACGAACTACAAATATTCTATAGGAATGATTGCAGACTTTGACAAAACCACGAAATAAAATATCAACGAAAATGCGAGTTTTCCTTAAACCACGAAAATTGGTACCCATGAAAATAAATTAATTCACAGTATGCATGAGTAACAGATTACTTCAATCAATTGCATGTAGACACTCAGGTCCAGACATGGTATTGGTCTTGTTAATGACACCTGAGTTTTTATGTTTCATTGATCAGACAATAATTTTTGTTTAGTTAATAGCCATTTCAAACAAAATTCATTTTGATTTCATTTTAAATCAACCTTTTTCATCACATTAATTTTAGTTTTGAGAATGATTTGTATTCATTTTAGGTAAACCTTGTGCACCTGAAGGTCATGGTTATGTGATGGCAGATGGATTTATTCACGCTGAAGTGACAGCAAGTATGTTTAATGTTTCCATCATTAAATTTATTTTAGGTAAATCTTTTTCGCCTGAAGGTCCTGATTACATGATGGCAGATGGTTTAATCCAACCTGAAGAAACAGGAAGTATGTTTAATATTTCTTTGATTAAATTAACAAATTTCATACATATTCCATTTTCAAAAATTTTATTAATATTCCTTTTTTTCAAAATTTATTCACATCATGAAATTTCTGTTTTTTTTTCAGTTTGTAAATAGATATAAGAAGATGTGGTATGAGTGCCAATGAGACAACTCTCCATCCAAGTCAAAATTTATAAAAGTAAACCATGACATGTCAAAGTAAGGTCTTCAACACGGAGCCTTGGCTCACACCGAACAGCAAGCTATAAAGGGCCCCAAAAATTACTAGTGTAAAACCATTCAAACAGGAAAACCAAGGGTCTAATCTATATAAAAAACGAGAAATGAGAAACACTTATGACCACATCAACAAACGACAACTACTGAACATCAGATTCCTGACTTAGGACAGGTGCAAACAATTGCAGCGGGTTTAAACGTTTTAATGGTACCAAACCTTCACCCTTATCTGAAACAATAGTGTAACATCACAACATAGAAAGACACACTATAAAATATCAATTGAAATGGCTTAGCTCAATCAAAAGACATATTAACACCAGTGAACATACACTGTAAGTCTTTTTTGCCTAAATGTTAATTGTTTTGAGAACATCATTGAAATATAGATCTTTAAAATGATCATTTCCTGCAGACACAATCATCTTAAGTTATGATTTCTGACCACAATAATTAAAAGTAAAACATGAAACGAGTGTCCAATGATTTGACAAACTACAAAATGTTGGCAAGGTGACCACACTGACCCAAATTTTGGCTCACACCGAACAGCAAGTTATAAAGGGCCCCAAAAATTACTAGTGTAAAACCATTCAAACAGGAAAACCAACGGTCTAATCTATATAAAAAACGAGAAACAAGAAACACTTATGAACCACATCAACAAACGACAACTACTGAACATCAGATTCCTGACTTAGGACAGGTGCAAACAATTGCAGCGGGTTTAAACGTTTTAATGGTACCAAACCCTTATCTGAAACAATAGTGTAACATCACAACATAGAAAGACACACTATAAAATATCAATTGAAATGGCTTAGCTTAATCAAAAGACATATTAACACCAGTGAACATACACTGTAAGTCTTTTTTGCCTAAATGTTAATTGTTTTGAGAACATCATTGAAATATAGATCTTTAAAATGATCATTTCCTGCAGACACAATCATCTTAAGTTATGATTTCTGACCACAACAATTAAAAGTAAAACATGAAACCAGTGTCCAATGATTTGACAAACTACAAAATGTTGGCAAGGTGACCACACTGACCCAAATTTCATCAATATTCCAGTTTCAAAAATTGTTTACCTCATGAAATATCCTTTTTTAGCTCACCTGGCCCGAAGGGCCAAGTGAGCTTTTCTCATCACTTGTCGTCCGTCATCCGTAGTCGTCCGGCGTTGTCCGTCGTCGTCATTAACTTTTTACATTTTGAACTTCTTCTAGAGAACCACTGAATGGAATGAAACCAAACATGGCATGAATGTTCCTTATGAGGTGCTGACCAAGTGTTGTTACTTTGTAGCGGATCCATCATCCAAGATGGCCGCCAGGGGGGGACTTAGTTTAACATAGGACCCTATGGGAAATACATACAAATGTCTTCTTTTAGAGAACCAGTGAATGGAATGAAACGAAACATGGCATGAATGTTTCTTATGAGGTGCTGACCGAGTGTTGTTACTTTGAAGCCGATCCATAATCCAAGATGGCCACCAGCGGGGGAATTAGTTTAACATAGGACCCTATGGGAAATACATACAAATGTCTTCTTTTAGAGAACCAGTGAATGGAATGAAACGAAACATGGCATGAATGTTTCTTATGAGGTGCTGACCGAGTGTTGTTACTTTGAAGCCGATCCATAATCCAAGATGGCCGCCAGCAGGGGGAATTAGTTTAACATAGGACCCTATGGGAAATACATACAAATGTCTTCTTTTAGAGAACCACTGAATGGAATGAAACCAAACATGGTATGAATGTTCCTTATGAGGTGCTGACCGAGTGTTGTTACTTTGAAGCTGATCCATCATCCAAGATGGCCGCCAGCGGGGGACTTAGTTTAACATTGGACCCTATGGGAAATACATACAAATTTCTTCTTTTAGAGAACCAGTGAATGGATTGAAAGAAACATGGCATGAATGTTTCTTATGAGGTGCTGACTGAGTTTTGTTACTTTGAAGCCGATCCATAATCCAAGATGGCCGCCAGCAGGGGACTTAGTTTAACATGGGACCCTATGAGAAATACATACAAATGTCTTCTTTTAGAGAACCACTGAATGGAATGAAACCAAACATGGCATGAATGTTCCTTATGAGGTGCTGACCGAGTGTTGTTACTTTGAAGCCGATCCATAATCCAAGATGGCCGCCAGTGGGGAACTTAGTTTAACATGGGACCCTACGGGAAATACATACAAACGTCTTCTTTTAGAGAACCACTGAATGGAATGAAACCAAACATGGCAAGAATGTTCCTTAAGGGGTGCTGACCGAGTGTTGTTACCTTGAAGCCGATCTATAATCCAAGATGGCCGCCAGCGGGGGACTTAGTTGAACATGGGACCCTATGGGAAATACATACAAACGTCTTCTTTTAGAGAACCACTGAATGGAATGAAACCAAACATGGCAAGAATGTTTCTTATGAGGTGCTGACCAAGTGTTGTTACTTTGAAGTTGATCCATCATCCAAGATGGCCGCCAGCGGGGGACTTAGTTTAACATAGGAGCCTATGGGAAATACATACAAATGTCTTCTTTTAGAGAACCACTGAATGGAATGAAACCAAACATGGCATGAATGTTCCTTATGAGGTGCTGAACATGTGTTGTTACTATGAAGCCGATCCATAATCTAAGATC